TGACGCCGTAACCACGTAGTCCTCGCGTAGGGCGAGGGCGAATGCCTCTTCGAGCGTAGAGGGGTCCGATCTTGTAAGGCAGTAGCGCGTCATGCCTTCGCGCATACCATACACGAGCACATGAGCCTGAGAGGCCATATCGATCGGCTTAGACACGATACACGACGCGAGGTGTCGTGTCTTCTGGACGTAGTCGCGCATAGTCATCGTGCCTTGCCGAAGGGCGACGAAGTCTGCCCGAATTCGGGATTCATCTTGCGGCGGCTCGAACGCGAGCCGAACGTCACTCTGGAGGGTATCCAGAGTGGGGAAGACGTTGAGATCGACAACCAACTTGCCGAGAGCCCATTCCTTGGCTTTCCCAGACAGCCGCGAGAGGAGGAAATGGACCTTCGCGAAAGGCGCCTCGATCAACCTCGAGGCGATGGCGATGTAAATCTCTCGAAACCATCGATTCAGCGGAAGTCGATCTTCTCCGGCACCGGAGTAGGTGGACGTCTCTAGCTTCACGACGTCATTCGTGGAGACACGCGAGGGAGTTGACACTCGCCGATTCGCATCGGCGAGCTCGCGTTCCATGAATTCTTGTGCCGCAACGCGCTGCTCGTCGGGCGTCGCTGAGCGCAGCAGCGACGTGATGACGGCTTCTCCGGACACCGCCGCGAGGCGGTGGAGAGCTTCCCACTCGATCCGAGTGAGATGGAGGAAGGCAGCGTGGTCGAGGTCTTGGCTCATGTCGAACTTGGTCGTTGGAAGGACTACGAAGTGCTACCAGGTGTAACGGGCCAGGTATTTACTCCGCTACTTGCTATCACTATAGTGTTGAGGAAGCTCGCAACAGGACGACTGAGTCTAAGGTTTAAGGAAAAATCAACTCTGACTTTTTTTTAGGACCAAGGCCACAGCCCTGGCCACCCAAATACCCGTCATAGTCCAATTGGATAATAATGGGTCTGGCTCCCCATATATCAGCCAATGGCATGACAGCATTTCAGCACACGCTAGTCGAGTGCTGATGCACCTACTTATGTAAAGAAATCTACCTACTTATGTAATGGAGGAGCCCATTACACGTTCCGTTGTCTCATTAGCGTCCTTAAAGTCCCGATTCGCCCGCTTTGCCCCCGTAGAAGCCTCCAGCTTCCGGTCATACCAATCCAGCCAATACTCAGGCGTTCTTAGCTCTCCTGACGAGACTTTTCGTGTGCGTTCCAGCACTTCCTCTGAGATCCCTAGTACCGCACTCATTTCCAATAGAGTCGGCGTTCCCTGCTCCTCGGCGTTCCTTTTTGCTCGCAGCAGAACTCCCTGTTCATCCACGGGGTACAATCGCTCCTCAAGTTCCTTTTCGTACTCCTCAGGTTCATCCCTTGCTCTGTAACCTTCACCGTGCTCGAGCATGTCCAGCTCCTCGTCGGTGAACAGGCAGTCGTAGCGTCCTGTAGAATCCTTCCCTTTAGTATTTTCAGTCTCCTGAGTGGTAGTCGCACTAACCACCCCTATTACCACCGAAACTTGGTTTGCTCTTGCACTCGCGGCATCTTCAGTCGTCATTTCCAAGGCATTCTTGTCAATCTCAGAAGTCGCACTGAAGCGCTCCGTAGCTTCAGTCTCGTATTTTACTTCTCGTTCGGAACGCTCCGTCGTTCCATCTCCTCGTTCTCGCGTAGCAGCCAAGCGTTCCGTTGCTTTTTCCCGTTTCTCCTCGCTCCTCTCGGACTCACTCAAAGAGCCGCCCGGAAAGCTGGTCCGTTCTGCTAAACTGGTCTCTCTTCCAGTTCCCAGTTTAGAGCCCACCCGTTCCGTTGGGATGCTCGCCTCGTTCTTTTCTAGTTTGGAGCCCACCCATTCCGTTGGGATGCTCTCTTCATTCTTGCTAGTATGGAGCCCACCCGTTCCGTTGGAATGCTCGCTTCGTTCTTTTCCAGTTTGGAGCCCACCCGCTCCGTTGGATTACTCGTTTCGTTCGTTTCCCGCTCAGCAGTTTCAGTCTTCGCACTTGAGGCTGGAACGCCTCGAGTAATTTTCCCATCCGTCACACTTCCCTCGAGAGTCTTCTCGGGTCCACTAGTAGTTAGACTAGGAGGACCCTCACTTCTCGGCGTGTCGCCCTTTAGTCAAGAGGAAGGAGCGACACTTCCTTCCCCTCCCTTCTGCCACCTTCGTTGTTGAGGCGTTCCGGATGACGCGGTGGCGTTCCCAGCGGTCGCGTTCACCGTCAGATTACGCAGTCGGTCCAGGCTAGGGCACCTTTCCACTGGGTGGTCCTTCTCGCCGCAGAGAGCACTCCATACGACGGCGTTCCCCACTCCGATTGGATCCTTGGGGTCTCGGCCTATTGAAGAAAAGTGGCCCAGCTCGTTACACCTGTTGCATCGCCCTTGTCCGCTCGGGCTGGTCTCGCGACCACATCCCACTCGTCCACAGCGACCGCATACAACTTCTCCTTCCGTCGTGCGGGTGTCAGGACCGAGTCTGATCCTCAGCGGGCCTAAGTTCGACGGGGCGTTCCCAGGTGTCGAAGCGTTCGGAGGCGATGAGGCGTTCGCAACCGGAGTCGGAACGCCTTGAACAGGAGGAACCGGAGGCACTACCGCACTGATGTATCCTTGCTGCACCCCAGCACCTTGTAGCTGTTTCTGCATGGACTGATGTATTAGCTGTAACTGCTGTAACATCTGCGACTGCGTCGAGTTTGCGTTGTTCGAGTGGGGCACAGGCGTTCCTCCGTCCGCAAACTTGTCCTCTTCCTCGACTGTATATGCAGATTCTTGTATATCAGCAGATTCCAGGCCCCTCGGATCGTCGCGACCATATTGCCATTCAACACCGCCCTCATCGGCTTGTTCCGCAGGCCGTCCAGGAAGAACTCGTACCTCATTCGAGGCTCATGGTAATTCAGGGCCTCGCACATGGTCGAGATACGATCACCCCACTCTTCAGGCGGCTCACCGCGACTTCGCTTGGCGTTTTTGAGGCAGCTCCAGAGTTGGGCAGGCGTTTGGCAGATGAATCGGTTGTGGAACTTCACCCGAAAGGTCTCGAAACTGTCGATCCTCGAGTTATACCACCACTCCTGATCCACCTCACCCCTGAGGCACTGCTCGAACGTCGTCAACCGCATCAGGCTGTCCATCCCATAGGTGCACCTCTCAAAAAAACGCCAGAAAGCTGCCGCTCTCTCGTTCGTAGCCGTCTCCGAGTAGAATGGAACGATTACCTTTACAGCGTTCTTCAACTCATTCGGGATACATACGTATGGAACGGCTCGACGAGGGTAATCTGCGCGTTCAGGAACTCCCTCTCATCGACACTCAGCACCTCGAGACCCGGCGCTCCCTTCATGACCTTGGTTCCTCATTTACGACGATGATGCTCCTCCCGCCGCTAGAGGCATCCCTAGCGTAGGCAGATTCGGGTACGCATGACTCGGTGTAACGGGAGCTGCGGGTCAAGCGGGTAGCGTTCCACTCTGGCCCCATCCGGCAGTAGGCTGGGCCATCGACTGGTACTGAGAATAGAGCGCTCTCGTCCTGGGCGTTCCGCCTACTATCCCGTCCTCGTAAGGACTGATCCCCTTCGGAGGTACACCTCGATACGCGGGAACTGGTCCTAAGGTCATTCCCACTGACATCGAAGTCTTCGTCAGGGTCGGAGCTCGAGGGATCGGAGGTCTCTGGTACTCGCGCTCGAAGGTTGTTCCAACTCCGTACGTTCCAGTCTGGCCGACCCAGGCGTGTAGCGGGTATCTGGTCCCACCGTTCGCGAGCGTGGCTTTCCAGCGCAAGACTCACGAGACAACGTCAGTTTCCGGAGTACTCGCTCGACCGACTCTTCCACCTGTGCTTGCAACCTCGAGTCGTTGGAAGGCGTTCCAGACCGGGCGGACGCAGCTATCGATCGAGCAGGGGTCAACACCGATTTGGCAGGTGTCGACGCAGACTTCGCAGGCGTGGTCATGGACCTCGCTGAGGCCGTCATTGATCGGACAGGCGTCGCCACTGACCGGGCCAGCGTTCCTGCTGATCGGGCAAGTGTGGACATCGACCTCGCAGGCGTAGTCACCGATCGAGCTGGCGTTGTCACTAGGCCTTCGGGTCGTACTGAAAGGTACGTAGCCGTTCCCGGGGTCGTCCTTGCCCCTGTGAACCTTGCTTTCGAGGTCACGTTTGTCGGGGTGGCTGTCTCCCTAGCGCTCTCAGTATCTCTGAGGGGTGTCAGCGAAGAGCGCGACGAGTCGAACGAGAGCGCCACGTCTCGGGATGCCCCCGACATGAGCGCTCTTAGCTTCTCGCTCTGCCCTGGCCGCCGAGCTAACTGTTCCAAGATGACATCGAACCGCTCTTGTCTCTCAGGCGTCTCAGGTTCTGACAGAACCTCTTTCACTACACCCAGGAACTTGGCTCCGTAGCTAGACGTGTTCCTTCCAGCGTCGCTCCGTCCTTCTGAATCGGCCGACCGAGGCATTCCAATTACCGCTGGAACGTCTCCACTTCCTTTAACGCGGGACTCATCCTGTTCACCGCCGCTGGTGGTACGCGCGCTTGTCTTCCTCGTAGGTCTCGGCTTGGAAAAGTGACTCGGGCAGAAATGGAGATGACCATCCCCCACCTTCTTCCCTTGTCTCGCCGCCGTGTCCCTCACCAGACCAGCCGTGGGCGCTCATAGCGTTCCGTTACCAAAGGGGCGGCTCACTCCGCGTTTACGTTTATACGATTCTTCGGCGAGAAGATACCCTGCTCCTCCACCAAATTGTCGCGGTAATCCTCCTTAGGTCGGGGTCGTGTATTTAGCAGGCCGACGTAGGAACTTAGGTTTATCACGTAAATGTAAAGTTGTTGCTGTATCCTTGAGCTCTTCTCTTGTAAGAAGGAAAATCACGACTGAGCTTGTACCTAAAGCTCCAAACTGAGCACTAGGCTCCTTACCTTTCTGTAAGCCACTACCGCGTGGAGGTCCAACGCAAATTTCCAACCTTGTCGACGGCCAGGCGTTCCACTCTAGGCTTGGAACGCCGTCGATTGGGCCGGAGAACACAGTTGCTTGGACGTGGCCTGCGACTTCTGCAGCAAGCAGATGTTCCGAACGCAGTCCGAGAGAATGGCGAGTCCTCCTTCTAGCTGTGTACCGTGACGACATTCGGTTTGAGAACACAAAGTCAGTAAACCAACTAAGGCTCACTATGATGGCTACGGATGCACATACCATCTTCCCTACGCTGTGGCGAATGGCCCATCTCGTGTGTACGGTACTTGTGTCAACCGCAAGCGCCGAGCGCTCATTTTCGGTAATAAAACGTGCTAAAACGAGACTAAGAACTCAGATCGGCGACGAATGGCTATCCGATCTGCTCCTTTTGAGCACGGCGAATAATCTCACTGCTAGTTTCAGTCGCGATGAAGTACTAGATCGATTTAGTTGTGCATCCCAGCGACGAATGCCTCTGTAAGTACAGCTGGAAGAGAATAAGCTGAATTTCATGAACATTTACACTTTCGTGAATTCTGTTTATATATTTATTTGCCATTCTTGTTTGGCTCTCCCTACGTTCACCAACTATCGGGTAGAAAAAAACAATTTACCCGGTAAATTCGATTACTCACATAACCAAAATATCCGTATGAAAGTATTTTTATAAAAACAAATCTCTTTGTAGTTGGCAGGGTGCAAAGTTCCATAAGTGATACACTTACATAACAAAAACTTGTACTTACTTTTGGCTTAGCTCTCGAAAATGTCAAGACACATTGTTTCAAACATTGTGTATCTGCACTTGTCGAGATCCTCGTCCGATATTTGCGGTGTCAGCGCGCTCAGATTTTCCTCGGGTTCCGTGGGCATCGCCACTTTCAAATACGTTTCAAACCACTTTACGATGAGAACACCGCAATTATACCCGTCCTTCTATAGCCAAGCAGAAGAGTATTTGAAATTAAATACAAATGCGGGATCGATCAGAGGGACCACGGAACTTTTCATGATATGTTCCACTTTATCAATGTAGTCAAGTTTTTGTTTTGGGTCGTAGATCCAGATTGAGCAGCTTCGAAAGTCAACGATAGTGCCACACCAATGCGCCACGTCTACTTGGATGTTTAGAGGGAAACAACCACGCGTCTTACTGCACCTTTGCTTAGAATTTGTTGCTTAGTGTCGATAATTCTCTTTCTCTCGACTTCCACTTTGAATCCCAATTAGACAGGGTCTACTACGAAATTTCAGCGAGACCCCCTCTGTTTTGCCCAACTGTATGTGCTTGGTGGGCCGTATGAAGAGCTGCAACGAAAATGCATCCGCATGATGCCCACGAATTTAATCAGCTCTTCGAAATGAATAATAATTTCACCAATCCGAGGTTTAATTTCAGAGTACATGTTCATCTGGGGCACCTTAGACAGGATCTCACGTCGCACATCGCTTTCTGGTTGCGATTGAACCCACTTGATTAGACTCCGCGTGCTTCTAATTAACTTTGGCCACTGCTTCATGGTATCAATGTCCCGCAGTGAAAATATTCCGACATCCAAAATATGCACAGAAATTTCTTCTGCCGCTGGTGTCCTGTTGCTATTAGCCAGCTCTCAATTCGCAGCATGTTTACCAGCTTGAGCAGATTTGTCCACCAGTGCTTTAGGAATGACATACCGAATGTTGGTTTCAGTTTGCAACTCTTCTCCAGGTTTTTTTAACGCGAGTCTTTGGACGTTTATATATCGCCTCCTCGACGGATGGCTGAAAACACCGGTACAATCGCCGATAGCGACAGCCTTTTCATGTGAATATATTCGCGAAGAGTCGCAAGTGTGGAATCACCCACTGTAGTCAGCTGATCCGCAAACACACTAGTTTCTCCAATCCCTTTGCGAGCCTTGGTTTTCTTAGTTGCGCTCGGTTCTGTGGGTCTTTCTGCAGGGTTGCTGGTCGGGTTCAGCTTGACAATCCGTTTTTTTACCAGCGTCGCTTGCTGTGTCGAAACCTAAACTAAGGCCTCTTCAAGTCGAGCGCGGTGTCATTGTTATTGTGGTTGGAGAATTTCTGACTGAACTGGTGACACTACTCCCAACGTCATAAGCACTGGTGGCATGTCCACCAACGCTCAACATCAGAGGTGCCACCTCTTCTTCAGAACCTTCCACAGACGTAGGATGATCGGTTGTTCTGCCAACAACGCCTTCAGAATTGGTGTCCGGATTGGTGACAGAGTCACCAGCATTCTCTAAGTTCGTGCTTATCTCCACAACACATTTGTAATTGGTGACTTGTTCACCAATATTTAGTTCTACATCATCTCCACCGCTGGTGACTTGCACAGTGTTACTAGAATTGGTGATTTGTACACCAACATCGCCAAAATCGGTGACATCTCCCCCAACTGTGCCAGGAATTGATGAAGTCGTGTGTACAGGAGAAACGGGAACAGCACCATCAAGTCTTGCGATTGATTCCATTTCGACAGATAGCTCAGCCACTCGTGGAAACTTCGCGATCCTTTATCTGCAATAACTTCTGCAATTTTCTGACAAACCGCAATTCCGGCGCGATATTTTTCGTTGTGGCCTAAAACACGAGCCGATGAAACCGTTACATCCTTCATTGGGAATCGCCTTGCAGTATCATCATCACATTCTTCGTCAGCAATTAGCCATCGTGCAGAAACAGAATTGTAAGGTATAACGGAGCAGGCGTCTTGTTGCTGACGTCACAAGTAAATGATTTGGCGACACGGAAGCAGCAATGTGCGGTAAAGCTGCAGCTGCATCGGCCTTCCTCCACGCTGGCAGCATACGTTTCATCCGACTCCTCGCTCGCCAGACTTACAAATGAAGAACTTTCTTCATCTGATGATACATGGTACGTAAACTGCTGACTAAGTTTATACTCTTCCTCCACCAAATCACATGCATGACGCGTAGACAGCTTTGCCAAAATTCTCATTTCATCATCGTATTGATAGTTGTACCGGCAGCCGACACGGCGTACGTTCGCCCAGTATCCATCTTCCGCATACTGCGGCAGGAGCAATAAACGATCAATACATTCGTCCACTGCCATGTGCCGATTCAAAATGTCTTTTGCGGCACCCCAACTTGCTTCTAAGCAATTGTTCGTATTGTTGTCGAGATGAGGAATCTCGCCACGTTTGAACATGCACCATAAATCCTTGCAGTTCAACCAATTCACTTTGAAGTAGTCCATCAACGCAGGTCTCTTTCCACACATCTGCCTCAACGCGGCGAGGTAATGATTAAAATACTCTTTTGAGCCCGCACGAACCATCAGAGCAACCAGATTTTTTTGCGTGAGCTCTGTCAAAGTTTGTGAAACCATAGTTCTCCTTACTGACTTCTCGTTTCAAGTAATCAATAGCGTGAAAATGGTGCACAAAATGACAACAGCGTCTGGAAACGCATCTTTCAACAGCGCCAGTTCAGTGAAGTTTTTGTCGATGATAATCACTCTGACATTTCTCCAAGCCGGGTTGTTCTCCTTGAATGCAGACACAGCACACTCCATATTCGACCTACTCTCTCCATCAACAAGAGCATGTTGGGCGAACGCACCACATCCAAATTTATCCGTGACCATGGAGCTGAACAAATGATATCCATGAACACACAAAACGTTAAGCGTTGGTGATTAGTTAACCAATTCAAGATACGTTGGAGAACCGTACACCAATTATCCGTACCGATTGAGGTTAGTGCCGTACATAGCATCGATACAGACGGTTTTAGGAAAATTGCGAGTCATGCTCCTCATGAATGCAGTTTGAAACGTGATACATGACGTCAGACCGGTATGTTTATCCCTGAAGACGTTGACAGCATTTCCAGTACCCTCGCTGAAATCACTGAGAAGCTGCGAGCCGCGTACATTATCATCGTCCGAAGTGTACGTTTCTCTCCTCATCCTGGCGAAAAGGTTCTCCATATCTTTAGGTAAAATTGGCTTACCCGAAACTTCCTTGAGATACCTTAAATTTTTTTTCTTTTTCGACCCGCCTAGGTGTGACTGCAAAGGGTAAGACATATACTAAATGCTACAAATTGCATCGAAAATATTTACTTGAATGAGTGTTTTTATAAAGCTCTGCGTGCCCGGGTAGTTGACTTAACGCGCTTCGGAATACGAATAGTATACGTCCGAACCAACGGCGTGATTGTGCCCAGCGTAGTGAGTCGATACTCGAATTTTGAACAGTCCATCCCTCCCCTTGACCAAAATTGTGTTCAGCTTTACTGACATTTGATCGAACAGATGATGTGGTCTGTACGTTTTCCTTTACCCCTTGGCTTAAAATATCAGCCATGCGTGCAAATGAAATACATTGCATAATTGCCCAGTGTTTAGTCCCATAACTCTGCCGTAGAACCACTCAGCACAGCCTATTTAGACCGAGATTTGTTCCGCTCCTTGACGGATATTGTGGAGCGGATTTTGTAGAGTTGGTGTGTGTCCCTCTGATAGCTGTCAAAAGCAAAAGCTTATGTTAGGAATCCCCGCAAACTACGTTTTAGCACTATTAAGTATAAGCATACCTGTTAAACGCTTCTTGAAAGATCTCCCAGGATGAAAATAGGCCCTGGAAGGAGGGAAACCCCTGCACAGGCTCCCCATCCTCTTCGTTGAGTTTGTCGCCGCCTTTTCTCTTTTTCGGTGTCACGACAGACATCGTGTGCGCGTACCAACAGGTATCTGCGTGGAATGGCTTGTTTTTCGAGTAGACTCGAGCGAATGGAGCCAGAGCTTTTTAGCTGCTCAAAAATACCAAATTTTGATTTTCAGAAAATCGAATACCGGTATCACAATATACATTTTTATGCTCAAAACAGTTGGTGAGCGTAGGCACGTCCTTCTTGTTTTCTTGAAAAATATTTGTTTTTAAAAAGGAAAATATTAACACTTTTTTTGGAAATCCTGGAAATTTGGGGGGGGGCATTCCCCCCCTCATAAAAAGAAACGGACCTGTCTCCCCCCTTGGTTATGAAGTCTCGACACAAGTCCATGAGTTTTGATATCTAAAATAAACGAAGGCTGTATCGTTAACTATGGTGTGCGTAACCCCATATTAATGCTAAGTAGTACTTTTTGACTAAATTATTTATTAAAATAACGAGCATTTCGTTTCGAATACCGGTAGACTCAAATTTACAACGTGCTGCACTGCAGATTTTCTTACATCAAAAGTTTTATTTTATTGTAATAGTAGTCAGGCGGGCAACACTGTTTTCCCAATAAAGCACACTACTATTACACATATCGCACCAAATACACACTCACTGCGCACTGAAAGCTCGTCCGCTCGAATAGCGGGGTCCTATCTTTAACTGGTGCTGAGGTGGCCATCTTCATCGAGGCCACATTAAAACCACGCTTAAGCACGAAGACGACGCCGGCACGCTGAAGGTGCCGAGGGAGGTGAGGGCGTCGAGGGCGCGCTCCAAGTATTTGAGCCCGCAGATGAAGTAGTGGGCGTGCTCATTTCATTGGAACCACCCGGAGCAGTTTCGCTCGAGCCGCCAGTCTCAGGCGAGCCACCAGTCTCCATAGATCCACCGGTCTCCGTAGAACTATCAGTCTCGGGGGAACTACCCGTCTCAGTAGATCCGCCAGTCTCGGTCGATCCACCGGTTTCGGTAGAACCACTGGTCTGGGTCGCGCCACCGGTCTCCATAGATCCACCGGTCTCGGTATCGCCGGTTTCGGCGGAGCCGCCAGTCTCGGGTGAGCCACCAGTCTCTGCAGATCCGCCGGTCTCCATAGATCCACCGGTCTCGGCGGAGCCGCCAGTCTCGGGTGAGCCACCAGTCTCTGCAGATCCGCCGGTCTCCATGGATCCACCAGTGCCAGTTTCGGGTGAACCACCAGTCTCCGTAGATCCGCCCGTCTCGGTCGAACCGCTGAAGAGGCCACCCCAGCCGTTGCCGGAAGATTGGATAGGGCTGTTACCAGTATCACTACCACCGGTAGTTCCTGCTGAAGAGCCGAGAGTGTCAGTACCAGCAGCGTAAGTGGCCGTCGGCGGCTGCGTCAGGTCTGTCTGCATGTTTCCCATCGAGTCGGCCGAAGCGGTGGCCACAGCGGCAGCGATGAGAGCGGCGGCAAAGAAAACCTTCATGTCTGTTGATGTGGGTAATAAGCCTGTGTTTGAACCAACAGGTAAATTGTAGAATGAATGACAAAGCTGAGCTCCCAAGCACACTGTGCTGGTGTTGAACGACTGCTCATCGTGCCCCAAGATCTCCGCTCGTCATACTGTACCGATTCCCCAGCATCGGCTGGAATTCTCGTGTGCATCGTCCACGGTGGCCGTGGAAGATGCACACGGTGGCACGGTGTGAAGACCACAAACGGACAACTCAACAGCCAAAATGACTACATGTACATGTACTGGTGCTAATAGTGCTACCTAATGTTGCTACAGTACGGTATTGCATTGCCAACGGTCCTACAATAATGTGCGTTTGCATGTCCGGCATTCGATCTTCTTCGCTGCAGAATAGGATGCTTTCGCGCAGCCCATTTACACTTTATACTTGTAATAACACTTCGACATCGGGAACCTACGCCTTCGTCTGCAACCGGTCCAGGTATGGCTGTTTCCGCAACCTTCAAATTGCAAAGCTGCTTATTCAAGCAGATTCAATGGGTGTGGTGGAAAGAGGTGTACAGGGGCTTAGAATGATGCAGAGAGAGCTGCGAGACGAGCTAAGCAGGAAGGAAAAGTGCAAGCAGCAGTCTACTTTGGATGTGCTACACAATAGTGACTTTCCCATAGTTAAGTACCTCAGAACAGTAATTTTTCGAAAGTTTGAATTCCATTTTCCGAGGCAGTGATGAGAGATTTTTTGTCTTTAGCTTGTAAATTACTTCCTCTGGTCGGAAATGATCACGCGAAGTTAGTATGATAGGTCTTTCAACTGTTCAATCCTCGATAGAAATTTGAAAAAACCTATCATACTAACTGACACGTCTTTCAACTGCTCTATATGCTCTTCAGTTTGTCACGTACTTCGTCTCGATTCTTCCGCTTTCTGCCGCTGTTCTTCTTAAGCCGGTTAAGTCACTCACCCCTACGACACCAGCCGTCATTGCAGAGCTGTACAGCTCCAATTAACTTCACGGTGTCGGCTCATAAGAACATCAAACGCTTCACGGGGTAGTTCTCTGTTGTTGCTGATCTTTAGAAGCTCGTCAATGACGGCTTTTGCGCTCGTTGTCGATAAGGTTGGACTTCGGCATGTTTATAGAGGAAGAAACAGCGTAGCGCAGGCGTGGCGGGTCGCACTCCAGGCGAGGCTTGAAACCTTGAGAGCTAAAACTGAAATTGCAGAGGCTATAGAAGTCCGTTCTGCGCACAACCGGTGGCTTTAAAAAGAGGAGGTGCAGGGCTTCCGTTTGGTCCAATCAGATGCCGTATTGGATAAATAGAGCTGAAGCGATTGGTCATTTTGTCAGTTTCGCGTGATCATTTCCGACCAGAGGAAGTGCAAGACTTCGGGAACCGATATTTTATTCTTGTCGGAGGGTATTCCATGAACAGGGATTACTACTGTACTTCGCGTAAAATGTATCGTAAAATTTTTGAATCTACGCTGTTTACTTAACATATATGGCTCTGTTTGATACGGGCAGCACGATTTGCGATGGTGGACATCATCAGTCTCGATGCACGAACGCCATACAGTTAATGTATTTTTTACTGCATTTTAATATTCCAACAGATCTGATAAGTGACGCTGCAATTGACGATGCTCAAGAATCTATTGGGCGAGAGCATCGTGTCTTCACGGACTTCAATTGGACACGCCAATCGAGCGGAAGATGTCGATTCGAGCTTTGCTTCGATTTGTGCGGCTCGCACAATTAATACGAGCCACACACCGCCGTGCGACACCAATTGCAAGCAGATTGGCATTTTATCAGTCAGCAGCAACTTTATTTAGCTAGAGCTAGAACAGTGTTAAACTTAAAAGAGTTAAGGGAACATGACGAGTATTGCGCACATGCGTAAGAGTATCAATGCATTCGTGCACGAAGTGCTATCAAATCAATTTAATTGTTTTACTATTGGTATAATGTGAAATTTGTTTCAGCCAGTAGCAGGGTGCAGCACAGCAGCATGAGTCAGGCTGTAGGATTTGTTGGAGGGATGATTTGCGCAGAGTTGTTAGGGCAGTACAGTACGGAGTGAGGACAAAAGTAGAGTGGTCTATGCGGCCATAGTGGAGAGGAAGTCTTGAGTGTAGAAGGAGAAGACGCTTGTGGTGGACTTGGTAAAAGAAGAAGTGATGAATTATAGAGTCTGGTGTTCTGGTGGGGGAGTTACTCTCCACCAACCAGTCCAGTTATGTACGATTTCTCTATATGAAATAGTACAGTTATATTCCACTAGATAGTTATCATCACATCGGAGATGCTTACTTCGACAGCCTCCCACATCGAGGAATGTGTATGATGCTCTATCTGTCGGATAGTATTTAATGTACCACGGGTGGCTGTTTGTAACAGTCCTGTACGTACATGAGCATTTACAAGAAGTAGATCTTGTTTTGATATTGATGATCTTTTTCCTTTGACTTTCATTGTCAGATTTGTCACCTTGTGCCGTTTTGCTTTGGCAATAACTGTGCTGATTTCTTGTTTTCATTGTTATTTTGGCTACTCAGGAAAACCTTAGAGGATTAAACCTGTTCACCGTAGTGATTGTTGTTGCTATCGTTTTAGTTATATGAATTTGTAGCAGCTACTTCAGGGAAACCTTTAATTTTAAGGATCAAAACCTGTTCGCTGAATTGTTGCTGTTATCGTTTTAGCTTTACGAATTTGTAGAAGCTACCTCAGGAAAACCTTTAATTTTAAGGATCAAAACCTGTTCGCTCTGTTGTTGGCTACTCAGGAAACCTTTGAGGATACACCTGATCACCGTATTTATCTTTATATATTTTGTGTAAGCGTTTTAGCTTTGTTCATTTCTTAAACTGCCATTGTTTTGCTCTTTCATATGTGGATATTTCTTCACAATGTGTGGTTTGTTTTTTGTTTTTCCGCTGCTGAGGTCTTATAGAATTGCCTCCCAATTTCATGAAATGGTTGATATAGGTGCTGCAGTCATTTTCAATTTGTTCTGACTATTGTTATTGAGAGCTTATAGTTTTCAAATATTTTTGAAGAAAGGCTACAGCTTTTAAAAGCATAAATAACATCAAACAGTGTCATCGGTAGCGTACGCATCATATTTGCAGTAAGTGTGCAGGCTCTCGTCGTTGGGGTTATTTTTCTCCCTAGAGGCTCATCGAGTTGTTTCTCGTTTGGAAGTTTATAATTTTATTTTTACTTCGCAAGCGCTAGCGATAGATTTTGCTAACTATCGAATTCATTGTAGATGGAATTGATGCAGTAAAACTATAGTTTGCTTTCTGTAGACAGAGGCTTCTGTAGGCTTGTCTTGTAGTCATAAAGTGTTGAATTTTTTTTCTTATTCTTTTGGTACTGTTATGCTGGAAATGTTTGAAACTTTTGCCAGCGACAATAAATGTTAAAGTTTGGCGAATGCATGAATAGTTTTTGCCGTTGATGCCTCCCAGTTTCATACATTTCATTAAGTATTTCTCTCTCAACGTTTGGGGTATATATATTTATTTATTTTTCTCGTACAAACAAGGCAGCCTTTGTATAACTTGCAATTTTGTTTTTGCATCTTGCAAATTGCATGTATGATTTTATTCATAAATTTCTTTTGTGAATGTGGCATAAATATGTTTTGAGCAGCTAGGTAGCAACGCTTGCACCAAAGCAATATTAGGAGCACACTTCACTCACATTTTATCTAGCTCACAGCTTTGGGGTAATTTTCTCCCTGGTGGCTCTTCGGATTGTATTCCGGATTTTATTATACTTCGAAGTAGTGAGAAGCATGCACACTATTTAGTCAATTGACAGAGACATTGCTCATGCAAAAAAGTGTTATTGCTTCGTAAGGCTCAATACGCAGTGCGTATGGTACGGAGTCCAGGGAGATTCTCCTCTGGCTCAATACGCAGTGCGTATGGTACGGAGTCCAGGGAGATTCTCCTCTGGCTCAATACGCAGTGCGTATGGTACGGAGTCCAGGGAGATTTTCCTCTGGCTCGATACCGCGTGGCAGACGTGCTGCTCACCGCGTGCAGCTCGTTTGCTGGCGTAGAGGGCAACATGGCCTCCCAGCATGGCGATCTATTGCACATGCAGCGCTACAGCTCAGTGGCTGGCGCAAAGTTGGCAACGTGGCCTAACGCAGGCAAGTGTCCGTCCAGCGATTTCTCTCTCAGGTCTCCTTCACCTCATTGTGCCCCTGGTCATTCATGCGGCTTGGAGGTGTGTGGTCTTGCCGCGTCCAGCTCGCCCCTGGCGAAACGTTGGGCTTATAACCTGTTGGAGGGATGATTTGCGCAGAGTTGTTAGGGCAGTACAGTACGGAGTGAGGACAAAAGTAGAGTGGTCTATGCGGCCATAGTGGAGAGGAAGTCTTGAGTGTAGAAGGAGAAGACGCTTGTGGTGGACTTGGTAAAAGAAGAAGTGATGAATTATAGAGTCTGGTGTTCTGGTGGGGGAGTTACTCTCCACCAACCAGTCCAGTTATGTACGATTTCTCTATATGAAATAGTACAGTTATATTCCACTAGATAGTTATCATCACATCGGAGATGCTTACTTCGACAGGATTCCTCTAAATGGATAGTACATCTACCGGTACATGTTTTATGTAATACTTGGAAAGGCAAATGCTGCTTGTCATTGCCTTGAATGACAAGCAGTGTTTGTCTTTCCTAAAGCATTTCGAATCACGGATAGCCTTGCTCAATTCGACAACGTTTACTATTTTTAAAAAAGATAAGAAACTAACGCAGGATGTGTTGCCTATTCGCCACTGGCGAATCGCGAATCGCCAGATGTGGCCGAGCGGGGCGTGAAGTGTCGATATTAAATACTAGTTACTTGTAGTGCTTCGGTAGTGTAGTACGTACGGTGCGATGAAGACATGAATATGTATTAATAGTATAATACATGAACAGTAGATTGCCGATGCAGGGCATGGGAAAAAGATTCTTTAATTATCTTAATTCGTTGGCGTCTGAC